AACGCTAAGCCTTTTACTCCCGATACCACTGCGCCACCAGATTGCTTCCATACCTGAGTGATGTTGCGCGGATCTCTGAACTGCAAGTCGAAATGCCTGAAATGCAGAGTGGGGGATAACGTTCAACATCAGCTCATACCTGAAGCAATAAGCTCATGCTTAAGATAGCGGGAAGCTGAGTCTGAAACGTTCGTGCATGTTTAATTTGAAGAAATCGAAATAAACTCGATTCCAAAGCGATTCTACTCTGTGGAAAAGCACCCTCATGTGCGCGAGTACTGCGGTTTTTCAGGGCACACGCGATAGGATGTCCTCTGGACTGCCTTACAGATGGTGAGAGCTCAACATTATCCTCTAATCATTTCAAGTGAATCTCGTCTGTAAGCAGCTTGTATACTCGATATCCGAAAGTTGGGGTAGGTGTGTCACCGGAAGTGACGTGCACTTGATAGAAGTTGCGTGGATAAGCTGTTGCCAGCATACATCGCTGGATATCAGCAAAGCATGCTGGCAACAGCTTATCCACGCAACTTCTATCAAGTGCACGTCACTTCCGGTGACACACCTACCCCAACTTTCGGATATCGACTGTACGTGAGGCCAAACAAATTGGAGAAGATTAGCGGCCCTTTCTCGCGTAGCGCTTCAAAATTATAGATCACCCTCAAATCACACAGAATCGAGACGCCCATTTTGACTGGGGCTGCGAATGTTTTTGCTCACGCTCCACTTTTGTGCACCTATTTCAGCTTGGAATTGATTTCAGAGTCATAATGAGTGGTTTTGATGTCTACTTCTGCTCTGATGGCCCATGCACCTTTTTTGGACCAGCGTTCTGCTTTGTTGGGTTGGTTTGAGTTACTGAAGAACTGTTATGATTTCTAAATCCCATAAAACATTTACATCTTCAGGTTCGGAATCATGATGCATCTTTATACGCATGGAGTGTGGAGCTTGTTGTTCTCCTTTGCTTACCGCTACTACATTTTAAGAAATACTCAACCGAAAAGCCGCACCCTCATAGCTATTACCTTACTGATATATCTCCCATCTTTTTTCCAGTGTGTAAGTTAACAAAATTTGTATTCGATTAGGTTTTCTGAGCATTTGAACTCTTTTTCTACTAAAATTCCGTCATTGCCTTACTGACTTCCAGTGAAAGCAGTGTACTCGTTACTTTTAGTATCACCGCACACTATCGCGAGCATCACACGGTAGGCTTCAGTGAATTTGGGGACATGCGGAACGCGCAGTCACTCAGCTAACGTATCCAATAGTAAAGACGCTTTGGTGAAATGCGTGATCTTCCGCAGGCTCCCCAGCAGGGTCAACCGTTATGTTGGACCGACATTGGTTCGACGTTGGACCGACGTTGACCGCTCTCCGCGCCGGCATTCGCACTTCCCTTGCGCGAGCCGTCT